TATGTACAGTTATTACAATTATTATGTAAATTAAGCAGTTGTTTATAATTTCAGCCTTTGCTATAATTTTCCCTCTCCGTTTTCTCACCAGAATGAAAATCACTCAGATAGTTTTTTAATTAAGGTTTTGGTGTTATAAGATAGACTTTGTCTACTTGCATATTGCATTAGTTTGTACCAGCTCTGGTAATTTGTGATTATTTGTCTTTGCATTGTTGCTGCGGATATTTGAATTTGTTATGCAATAACTATGTTTCAACGAGTTACAAGTTTGTTGGAACGTGTTACTGACCAAGCTTAGATTAAAATTAAATTTTTTAGTCTTTGACTACATTTTTAGCCCACATATTTAATTTGAATTTGACTTTTCCTGTTAAATTAGATCTCTATAAGCTGTAGTTGATTTTGCGAGCATAAGAACGTACTTTTATATTCTAAGGTTTTTTTTTTTAAAAATAGGTTTATTTAAACCTTTATGTGACTTTGTAGCTACTTTCAGGCATAGTGATGATTTGCTTCACATCTGTCAGGGTTTTGGACTATTTAACTTTTATCAGATCAGGTAAAACCTCATACATACATAGTCAAAAGATTGACAAGTTAGGAGATAAAACATGCGGAAACTAGTAGAAACATTGGTTTGCATATTGAAACGAATTTTTGATTGTTAGAAAATATGCTTAAGGAGAAGGAAATTGATATAAATAAGCCAGAATGTCTGGAAAGGCTTCAAATTTAAAAGATGCACAAGTATTTTGTTGAGTATCGTTGCTACAAAACGTAATTGTTTTGTTGCTTTTAATGGGTAGTTATCTTTGTATTGTTTCAAAATCGATTTCATAAATTACATGTATTTTAAACTGTGACATGTTAATAGATTGTGATCTTAATAATTCTTTTTAATACATATTTTTTTTAAATAAATTTACTAGTAGGCCATGTAAATCTATGATGACTAAGGGTATCTAAATAGCTAATTTAATTATTTGTAACTAACTAATAACCCTTTAAAGTTACCTTTGCATATTAAAGTGGGTTATTGTCTTTCATTAATCTTTACTATTGTCACAAGATATAGCACAAAAATGTAAAACTTAATTCTTTGTATCTAGTGGCACTTGAAATAATACAACTTATCACCTCTGGTGCTTTAGTGGCTTATTGGAACCTTAAAATATATTAACTGGGTTACAACCAGACAGGCAAAGCACAATGAACTTTCAAAACTTGCCATTCGTGCCTACATCAGGCTTTTAGGTTTGTTCTAATCAGCAGGCCTCTCTCTAGGCAAGCAGCAGCAATGAAACAGCCAGTCTTCTGTAAAGAATCCTGCTGATTATGATTTTATTTCTCGTTTTAACCTATGCCGTTTGACATAAAATCTACCTGCTATTTACTAAACCTCTAAACTGAGCAAGTACATGACAATATGAAAATAAAATAAAAAGACGAATGAAATGACAAATAAAAGAAAAAATCAACAATTTTTTTTATTAATGGTCCTTTAAAGTCCTTATATGTGCTTAATTCCTATGTGCAGGAATGTGTACGAACCCTGCACAGAGGAAAATTTGAATTTCTGATCAAAGTTCAAGAAAACAATTTTAAACTTTGCTCCTGGATAACCCACTTTACTGCAGAAAATAACAAAAGTGTTTCTTATTCAATGCCCATCTCTTGGCATAAATTGTCTTGAATTTAAAGCTCGGTTTTAATAAAATTGACAATTTTCCCAGCTTGATTCAAAAAGATTTTCAGGTTTTCGCAGATTGTTTTGGCTACTAAAGCTTCATGATGAATGGGAGCAGTGAGTAAATTTAGTTTAAGGTGCGACTTTTATTTGAGAAATAAAACCAAAATGTTTTCCTGTTAAAGCCTGAGTTCTATCGCTCCATATGGCAATGCACTACCAAGGAACATCATTCTCGGACATAAAATTATCAACTACTTTAAAAATTTCATTTGCAGTTGCTCTATCATGAAGAAATTCACAAAATAAATACTCTTCCACAGTTTGTTTATCCTCTTTGAAACATAAACTATTAATTGAATAAAGTTTGTTTTATTTGTACTTTCATCCATTTCCAATGCGGAATACTAATTGTGTTTTATTTATTTATTTTGAATGTCCCTTTTGTGGAATTTGCCATTTTATGAATCTGTTGATGTCCTGTATCATTTGATAATGGAATGTTATTAAGTTTGTTAGTCTCTTTCTCATTGAATAACATTAAAACGATAGCTTAGCTGCTGGTAATATAAGGTTTTCCAGTAGTGTGAGCCTACTCAGTCTTGGTAATTCTTAGGCTTACTAGGTAACAAGCTTCCAAAGCTTTTTCACTCGAAGTAACAAAATATTGTAATTACTTGCTTCCTATTTGTTAACTCCAATAATTTCCTCTTAAAATATTCTTCAGATTTATCCTTTAAACTGGCATGCTTAGATTCAAGATGTCTTAAGAAACAATAGTTTCATAATTTGATTGGATAAGAGTTCACCACAAACAACACAGTTCAGGGTCCATTTCATCTTCGTTCCAGGTACACCAAAATGATAAATAACTTTCATTATATTTTCAATAAACAATTTTTCCTTTCAATATTCTTAGTGCTAGTAGATTGTACTGGATCTATCACCTGTGAATCACCACTTTTCCACGTAGTGAATCCTAGCCATTTTTCCATTTTGAAAATCTAGGTTTGTTTTATTATTTTTTCACAAATATTTAAATGCACAACATATTAGGAGTCCTTCAAAAACAAATAACCTGATTCTCAAATTGAGTAGAAAAGTAAGGAATACAAAGCAACCAGAAGGCAAAATTCCTGCTGTTAGAGACAGCAAATTTGCATTAAAAAAAAATTGATTAAGTGAAAATAGAGCATGGAAAAGGTAGCCACATAAAGTGTAGACATGCTAATAAATTGATCAACTTGGAAAAAATTTATGAGATACTATTATCTTTTTATAGGAACTTATTTTTATTTTGTATTAAATGCAACATCCATTTCTATTGCTCCTTTTAAAAACATTATTTATGACAAAAAAATTATGTTTTTATTTTATTTTGTTCATTTTATTTGTTCACAGAAGAGTATTTGTGAAAATAAAAACAGATTATTATTATTAAAAATGGATTATTAAGTCTATGAGCAGATATTAACCTTAAACAAAGCGAAGATCGCATAAATTTATGAGTGTTAGAGAAAAAAACTTAAACGGAATGTTAGGGTATTTAATTTTTTAATTTAATAGTTGAAAATACTCTATTTTATTTAATACCACCTATTTTTCTCTTGCGTACCACTGGTGGTAGAAGTTACTAAGTTTCTAAATCAGAAACAAAGGCTCTGTATGTTAAATAGATTTTGGTATTCCATATGAAAATTTACTGTGTTGAGTAACTGAATATAATGAACTTCCAATGAATTATTACATATATGAATTACCTCTGTTGTGGTCTATCTATGCTTTGTTGCATTGAAATTTCTTTAGCTTGTCCATGGGGTTGGAACACATTTGACGTTTTGCAAGAAACTTGCACCTGCTCTGTTAATCTCACTGCTAAGCTTGGAATGAATTGAATTTAATGTTAATGTATAGCTATTTGCTATCATAAAATAGGAATGGCCTTCCGACATTGAATGAAAAATATCAAGCCTCTGAAATTACTTCTGGTGTTCAAAAGTTTGAAAACATGAATGAAGGAAACAGAAGTGAGATGGGGGAAGGAGGAATACAAAGGATAAGGATTATAGGATTTTATAAGGCTAAAATTGTTTAGTAGTAGTCAGTGGAAGCCCAGTGAAGATGTAAATATAAAATAACAGGTAACCATGATGATGCACTAAAATTTATATAGGAGTTCTTAGACTACGTGGATGAATAAACTGAGCTTAAATTTAATTCTTTGATGGAGCTGTTATATTGATTCATATGACAGACATTTTCACAAAGAAGTATTGAAAATATAAGTAGGTTAGGTCCAGCTTTGTGCTTTCTGCCATCCAGGATCTATAAAATTCTCCCACTTCTTAATTTTGCCACCCAGTACCATTGCAACAATCTGGTGCCATGCCAACCCTAAGTATATGCAAGTGTTATGGTTTAATTTCATTCTAAAGTTATTTCGAAGTTACATATTTGTATTAAATGAAGTTTCTGTCGTTACATAGTCTTATATTTTAATTATTTTCTGAATATTCATTTATAAACACATAATTATTAATAAAAATTGTGATTGATTATTGTCAGAGAAGTTTCTTTTGGCACCCACCTGCAGTGCAGGTCCTGTTTCTGCTGGTCCTGAGGCATGTATGATAGTGTAATTTAAAAAATAATTTAATTCAGCATTTGCATAGAAGGGAAATTGTCTTTTGTAGTAGTTACAATCTATTTACCATTAAAAACTTGCACATTTTGCTCTTTATCCTTCATTATATTGATAGGGCTATTTTCCTTATACGTGGAAGTTTATTACATTTATTGCAATATCATTTTCAGATGTGTGATATGATATTGCTAATTTGCTTATTACCATCAAAATGTAAGTAATTTTGATGGTAATGAGAATATATTCTTTATTTGTGGGTAAAAAATATTTTTATTCTATGTAAATAGTTCTGAAAGCATTATTAGTTACGGCAAACTATTGAAAGATGCTAGTAATCACTGTTAAATAATTAAATGACATATATCGGTAATAAACAATGGGATTATGATGAATAAATAACAGCTGTTTTCAAATGTACATGATGTTAGAATTAGCTAGGCTTTTCTGTCTGAAAGGGTTCCGGTATTAAAATAATGTATCTAAGATGAAAATATGGTTCTAATAAGCAAAGCAATTGATTTGAATACCATCAGTTATCTTTTTTCAATTAACAATTGAAAATGGTAATTTTTTATTGTTTTTGCAAGTTGATATATATTGTCATTCTTTTATCATTTAATTTATATTAAAACAATTATACTTCAAATGCTCGTTTTTATTTTTCAGGTATGAATTACCATTTGATCGTCATGACTGGATTGTAGACAGATGTGGCAAAGAAGTCCGTTATGTTATTGACTATTATGATAGTGGTGAAGTAAATGTACAAAATGGAAGGTTTGCGATACTGGATGTTCGACCTGCTTTAGATTCATTTGGTGCTGTATGGGATCGTATGAAAGTGGCATGGTGGCGCTGGACAGCTACAGAATCTGCAGAGTCTTAGGATATTTATAATTGAAATAGGAGCAAATTTAGTCATTTGTAAATGATTCAAATTTTAGTTTTAGGTAAATTATTGAAAGACATGAAGTTTTCTGTTTAAAAATATAGAAAATTCTAGAAATATATAGAAATATATTTAAATATTTGATAAAATTTTAAACTTAAGTTTTTTTTTTTTTTTTTTTTTTTTTTTTTTTTTTTTTTTAAATAAAGCAAAAGGAATGTAGATAAAAATTAATCCGTTTTCATCTGGAAGAAAGTTTTGGTAATAAAAGTAGTGGGAGGCTCATATATCAGCTGTTGTATTTTTTTATGAATGAAATTTATTTTCATGTTTTACAGGCAGTCTGAGAACATGCATTTTAATACATCCTTTCAATAGTATGTATGAGTATTTATCCTGCATATGAATCTGTTACATAAGTTAAAATTTTGTGGCACATTACTTTTTTTTTCCATTTAGTTTTAGTTATGAATTTTTTCTGTGTGTTTGTTTTTATAACAAATAAATTCTAGATGTATGATAATAGTAGTATGTAAATTAAAAATTTCTTGTCATCCATTAAATCCATTGTCAGAAACAATTTATTTGTTGAAATTCTGATTTATTGTAGCTTCTTAATGAATGGATATTATTTTAATTTCCACATTGATCATAAATGCATGTTGTATTAAACTTCAGTCTGTCTTATATGGTATTCACAATTAAATATCAAATTTTAATTTATGCTGTACAATTTATCTCTTGTTCTTAAGCAATTAAGAAAAATCAATGGCTAAGCTTTTGCTTACGGATATATAAGATATTTTTTAATTAATTTGTTATATTTATTTATTTTCTGAATAGTTTTTAAAAAAATATGTGCAAGTTACTTAGAAATGAAATTTTGTAATTATCTTTAAAAAGGGGGGGAATAAGATTTTAAAATTGAGACAGTTTTAGTTATGCTTAAGAACTCATAGTTTTTAATATACATTGTTTTTGAAATAAAAGGCTGTCTTTATAAAATATAGTAGTATTTTATAGTAGTATTTGTTATGAATTATTATTGCTGTAATGAAGTATAAATTTTCTAGGATAACTATTTCTTTTTTTATAGATGAACTTTGTGTAGTCAACCTCCTTTCACTGTTGAATCATTGTACATGTATGGTTTGTATTTTTTAGCAGTGAATGAAACAAGCAAAGTGGTTCAGTTCTTAGTTTATTTGCATAGAATTCTTAAATAAATGTTTTATAATATCATATAATTGGAAACACTGGGTATAATTTCTTAATATCTACACAATAACTGAAATCTGTTAAAATAACATGCCAAATAATAATTATGAGAGGTGTTAAGGCAACAAGAATCAACATAATATCCATAAATTTTGCAGCACTAGTTGCAAAGGTAATCTAGAACTTTCTTTTTCAGCTGCAGAAGTGCAAGTGATGAAAGATATAACATTCTATATTTAAAGCTAGTCCTATAAATTTATGAATACGATGCTGATTCTTGATGTCATAACGCTTCCAATAATAGTTAACATACTAAAAAAAAGTTTAAAATTTTGCTTGTAATACATATTAAAATGTAAATTTTGTAATACAATTTAAAAAAAAGTTAATAAAATTAGTCATTACTATATAAGTGTACTTTGTGACAGTGATTGAAACATACAAAGTAACACATTTACTTTTTTTCAACAAAATTCTTCTTAGGAAAACATTTAGTATAAGTTTATAATTTTATTAATAAGCAATCTTTATGCGAAATTGAAACGTACAAAGTAATGAATGCAATTTTATTATTCTTCAGCAAAATTATTCCTAAGAAAGCACTTCTGTGAAAGTAATTTATTTTATTATAGTTAACAGTAACAAATAATTATTATAATTAGTTATAGTAACTTAATAAAATGCACTATTCATAAAAGTAATTTTAAGATAATGAATCTGTAGGTATTATGATCAGAACTATTATCACAATGATAATCAAATAGTCATACCCTACCATAAAGTCCATGTTAAGGAGTTAAAATGGTGATTCACAAACTTTTATTGAAATATTATACTATAAAAAATTCACTGCGATTTTTGTTTTAACAAACCTACTACTAACAAAATTCCTACTGTTTATTTTGCAAAATATATTACTTCTTTGTAAGAACTACTACTGCAAAATATATATACTTTGTAAGAAGACAAAAATTGCCTAATTTGCAAATTTCCAATGGTAAAATTACTTTGAATATAATAGTATAAATTCAGAAAGCTCTGATTTGGAAGATTAGGTTCTTGGCAACAGAATTTTTTTGTAATGTCATATGTTGTTTCATCATTGCACTTACACATGTTTTTGTTTGCAGAAAATAATTTTGTTGTGAGGAAAATTATATGTGTAGCAATACAAATTTTAAAAAAGTGAGAACAGATCTTTTACATTTTTATTTGAAAAAAAGAAAGATTTTATTTACAGAAGTGAATTTGGAACAGCTTCTTTTTGGTGGATTGTTGATTAGATATATAGGGTACTGCTTTGTGTAGAATTAACTCAAAGTTTTCCTAACCTTATTAGGCTAACAAGCAAGTTATTCCTTCATCTGAAATATTATTGCAGAGTCCTGAGATAGTTGTAAATAACTCTTTTAAATGAACGAAAAGCACTTGTACATACAAATAAAATCTCTCACTTCCGGGTATCTAAAAATAACAAAAATGTTGAAATTAAAAGTAACATAGTTGGAGACCACACCTGTTGGCTTATTTAAGCTGGCTCAGTATTTTAATAGCACACTTTGAACATCGGCTGGCAGAATGGCTAAAGGCAGGATATTCACTGATAGAGCTGAGTGATGGAATGTAAATTTGCAGACGATACTGCCAAAAGCTCTCTATCTAAAATATTCAAACTTA